CCAACTGCCCGTCCTGGTCTGCAATTAGCATTTTGAGCTGCACAGCCCTGACAAACACCTCGTCACCCTGATGTGACTCCGAACCCACTGAGCTCAATGTGAAGATGGGGACTTGGTTTCTAACCCTTATGTCAGCCCTCGGTTCTTCTGTAGCCGTGGCTTCCGTGGGAGCCTGGGGATTGTGTTGGGATCCTGCTCTGGTCACGCCCAGCAGTCACGGTGACGGCGAGGGCAGTGCTGCTGTGAGCCATGCACCCTGGCTGAGGCCACTGACCTCTCAGGCTCGCCAGACGGATGTGCGTTTTGACCCGCACGTCTGTAGACCTCGGACCCCCCTCCTGGTCGCAGGATGGGAAGCCCCCACTGGAGGAGCCGAGTGGCGGTCCCGACATTTCCAGGACTGGTTTTCTGGACTCGGGATCAGCACTTTTTTTTTTTAAAGATATATTTTATTGATTTTTTACAGAGAGGAAGGGAGAGGGATAGAGAGATAGAAACATCAGTGAGAGAGAAACATCGATCAGCTGCCTCCTGCACACTCCCCACTGGGAATGTGCCCACAACCAAGGTACATGCCCTTGACCAGAATCGAACCCGGGACCCTTGAGTCCACAGGCTGACGCTCTATCCACTGAGCCAAACCGGTCAGGGCGGGATCAGCACTTTTTGATTTTGAAAAGTATCAGCCACCTGAATTGTCCCCAGATTCTTGTTGGAGGGGCGGGAAGGGATGGAAGGGGCACAATCGTTAGGACATTCCAGGGGGCATCTGAGCAGGTACCTGGAAAACAGGAGCAGCAGCAGGAAAGTCTGTGCAGAAGTTTGTTCATTCCTGAGGGTGTGTCGGGTTCCCTGGGAAGCGAGGAGGCGGCGGGGTCTGGAGGGTCCCTGCTTGTCTTTGTAGTTTGCTGCATTTCGTGTGACTAGGAAGCCTCTGTAACTTGAGTATTTACGAATGCTTAGGAACCGCTGTCAGCAGCTGCGGGTGTGTGTGTGTGTGTGTGATTTGTCATCAGGGCCTGTCACGTGCTGGCACAGTGCGTGTCCCAGTGTAGAGCCCGGGGAATTGACGCTGATGGCTTTACTGGTTTGGGCGCTGTTTACTGCATCCGACTAGAGCAGTGGTTCTCAACCTTCTGGCCCTTTAAATACAGTTCCTCATGTTGTGACCCAACCATAAAATTATTTTCGTTGCTACTTCATAACTGTAATGTTGCTACTGTTAGAATCGTAATGTGAATATCTGATATGCGGGATGGTCTTAGGCAACCCCTGTGAAAGGGTAGTTCGACCGCCAAAGGGGTCTCGACCCACAGGTTGAGAACCGCTGGACTAGAGGTTGCACTTTGGGGTGTGCTGTGCTCTCTCAAGTGCAGAATTTCTTATTTTTGAGAAGGGATCTCTCTTCAGAATACCTCCCTAGTGAAAGAATGAAAAGATTACTTTTAGAAATTTCAGTCGAAGACCAACTATTCAGGACTGTAAGCATAAAGCGTCTGTGGGCTTTGTAGAAGCCAGACTGGTCCATGGACCACACCCCTCCCTCCAGGCCCTCAGGCACCCTGTGGTCTGGGCCTTCAGTTGAAGGGCGTAGACTGGAGACCAGGGAGCTGCAAGCACAGTGCATGTTGGCTTGATCAGGTACCGGAGAGAATATTGCACATGATCCTTCTGACTCCCAGCAAGCCTGTCTTAGAAATCGTAAAATACGGAGCCCATGAGGTTTTCTAAGAAGGGATGAATGAATGGAAAGCTGGTTTCCGTCTTGCTGCTTAGAACTTTCTGTGGGATGCACATAGATGTAATATGTTGGCCAAATGTGGGCAAGCCCCATACAAGTTATCAGAGTATGTGCTGCAGTCTACATCTCTGTGATTATTCTGTAACTACCAACGTATACTGCTTGGTCCCTTCACATTTGTATTTCTAAAGCTCCCCAAACCAAAGAGTTAAGCACTGCTGGTCGATAACCACAACTTAACTGAAACTTTACGAGAGAGAGAGAGAGAGAGAGAGAGAGAGAGAGAGAAGGCGCACATGCACCATGTGGGCAGGGACCTTTTGCACCTCATCATCAGTGATTAAGAAATAGTCAGTCAGGAAAAGTGTGGAGAAGTATATCCCAAAATGTTAATATGATGCTCACTGTGCGGAGGATTTAGGATAATTCCAGTAGACCTTTTTCTTTGTGTTCATCTGCATTTCTTAGTTTCTCTGCACAGATCGTGTGTGATGTATAGAACTCTTTCTAAATTACTTGTTTTAGGAAGTGGTTTTAAGGCTCCTGAGCAGCTGCTGTGCAGTGGGAGCTGAATGAGTGTTCCCCGAGTCCGCGGACACCTTTTTCTAAGGGAGGACGTCTCCCCCGAGGGTGTGAGGTTAGGTGCTTGCACCAACCCTGCTGGTCCCGGGAGGCGGGCGTCGGACATGAGGTGCAGCTGTGGAGAGCTGGCTGCCTCTACCCTCAGCCCCAGGCCATGCTCCTCGCTGCAACCACAGTCCTGCTGCTCCAGGAAAATCCGTGACCAGCAGCACCTGGGCCACAGGAGTGTGACTGGCTCTTGTACACACAGGCTTTTTCCAAAGTGGAGCCTGTGGGTCCACGGGTGACGGAGACCGGATGACTGCCTGCCGTCCTCTTCCAGGGAGAGATGGAAGGTGCACGGCAGCCTTTCTAAGCCACACGACGTCCACAGTTCCCTGGCCAGTACCGGTCCTTTTTACTCCCAGCTTTATGTTTTAGAAATGTTGGTCCTGAAATGGAAGACTTATTTTGTTGTGGGATCTTTTTTTCCAGTTAGTTGAAGTGTGACCTGGTAAATTGGGAGGTGTTCATTTCAGGGGCATAGAACATTTCTTTGGGTTAATAAATACTTTTGAGTGGCCCGATATCTCAACAAGAGCAGCTTTTTCTTAGCTCTGACTCTGGTCGTTAAAGTTCTATTTCATGTGTGAAGTCCATAAGCTGTGTTTTAACTCTAATGTTACATTCTGGAAAATGGTGCAAATGGGGTGGGGGGAGGGAGACCTCAAGAATAGAAAACTTTATTACGAATTTAGAAACAGAAGACATACCTCAAACATCAAAATGATGGGACTTTTTTTCTCGTGGCTTTCTATACTGTCACATGCAGCAGATTACCACCGGAAGCTTAAAGTATTTTGTGCATTTCACATCCTGGGGCTTAAGTTAGCCTGACTGATTTTCCAAATGTAGGTAAAGGCAGCTAAACACGTGATGAAAACTTGCTTTGTTATTTATTATTACCAATTCCAGGTAATTCATAGAAATATGTTATTGTTCAGTGCTGTGCCAGAGCAGTCCTCCCAGACATGTGCCAAGAGTGGGAGGATGTATGTTAGAGCCCCGTGTGGCACGGACCAGCAGTCCAGGTTCTTCTAGAGCAGTGGTTCTCAACCTTCCTAATGCCGCGACCCTTTAATACAGTCCCTCATGTTGTGGTGACCCCCAATTTCATTGTTACAAATTGAACATAATTAAAGCATAGTGATGAATCACAAAAACAATATGTAATTATATATGTGTTTTCCGATGGTCTTAGGCGACCCCTGTGAAAGGGTCGTTCGAACCACAAAGGGGTCGGTTGCGACCCACAGGTTGAGAACCGCTGTTCTAGAGCCGGGCCCGAGGGGTGTGGACCCGGGTCCAGGTGCCTCCGGAGCAGGGCCCGATGGACAGTCACACAGCTTTCTTCCATCTGAGACGAGGCACCGCTCACAGAAAACCACTGCACGTTGAGACGTGATTCTCTCTGACGGCGCGTGGAATGACAGCTGAGGTGTGACACCTGTGTGACCCGGAGGCTCCCCTCCCACTTGGCAGCACAGAGCTGTTGGATTTTCCAGCTCCCAGAACACCCCCTCCCTGGTGTCATAGAAACACAATGTGCCCAACAGAAGCATTCCAGGTCACCTTTGGTTAGATGAGCAGGACAACCCGGGAGACAAGCTGACTTGGTCCCGGGGCTGGAGGACGGGAAGCGAAGCGGCGGTGCTGTGTGCATGGGCGGGTGTGTGATGCTGGGTGGACGCATCCCAGTGCCAGGGCACCAGACGGAGGCTGCCTGCTGGGCTGAAAGGCCCGGCAGTGGGCTCGCTATTGTGCAGCCCCTCCGCCAGATGAACAGGGACCCTTCCCTGGTCACAATAGCCATTCACGCTGAGCAGCCTCATTAAATATTCAGCCTGTGCTTCCGGCAGCTCATTAGGGCCGCAGTGAGCAGTGACGTGGGTGCTGGGAAGCCCAGGCCGCGGCATCAGAGCAGAGGCTGAGTGAGCGCCGGAGGCTTCTCTGTGCGCTGCCCGTCCCGGCGATGACCAGTGTGTGCTCCCTGCTGTGCCTGAAGTACAGGTAACAACAGAGCAGACCAGCCACGCAGAGGACACCCGGGGGCTGGGTCCTCATCCCCGATCTGTCTCGGGGGCCTCGGATTTTTAGTGTTTTCTCCTCCCCCCCCTCCGCCCCCAAGGCCTCTGACCCCTCAGGGAACTGTCTGCAGCTTTGGCAGTCTGCAGAGTCCAGACAATATGGTGCTATTGTGTCCTCGGGCTGTGTGATGACTGTGTTTGGGAGGGTTCAAAGTGTGGTTTTGAACTTGGTGCTGGGGGTGTCGAATAGCAGATTATTCCTCTGTAACATGTCAGATGTAGACGTGTGGTGGGGTCAATCCTAGCAGTTTGTGGAGCGAGTGGACTCCATCTGAGCCAAGTTTTCCTGCCTCTGAGTGGTTCCTTACTAAGCCTCCCCCTTTTGACTGTCAGGATAGGTAGGCATCATACAAAGCAAATATTCATCAGCTGTTTGGGGCTCTTCCAATGGGCGAATGCTGTCCTTCTGTGTAGCTCGTTACTTTGTTGCTGGGAGCTGTGCGGCTTGGGAAGCTGGAAGGTCTGCGAGGGGCGCACTGAACAATGACGAGCTCGGACAAAGTGCATTTCTTTGGTCTCACTGTGGGCATGTGTTTCTCTTTCCTGCACAGAAAATGCTTCCAGACGGCTCACTTCTACGTGGAGGACAGCAGCTCCCCTCGGGTGGTCCCCAATGAGAGCATCCCCATTATCCCCATCCCGGGTGAGTGCGACCCTGCCCCTCTTTCCAGCGGCTAATTGTTCCTCTCTTTTGTTCTCCGCCGTGTGTGACAGCCACGACAAGTTATTATTTGCGCAGCCTGGTGACGCTTGTCCAGATTCAGAGATCTTAACTCGGGGCAAGTTAATGAAATCTGTGCCCCTTTACGTATCTGCTAAGTGATGAAACCCTCCTTCCCAGGAACAAGTGACTGTGACCAGATGCATAGGAGGGAGGGAGGGAACGGTAGGAAAAGGAGAAACGTACACTTTTGCAATCTATTTGGACCAAATCTCATTTTCATAGGTACTTGTGTGTAGATTCTTTTTAAAATCATAATGTGCAATACATTTCCTCCTGTGATTCCTTACTCTGAAAGTCATTTGTGTTAGAGTTGGAAGTTTGGGTTCTTAAGGTGCTTGTGTGGAGGTCAAGGGAAACGGGCTTGGTCTGGAATGTATTTCATTTGTCCTCCAGTGGAAAGATGGAGCACTCGGTCAGGG